CCCAGGGCCTCATGCATACAAGGCAAGCGCTCTACCACTGAGCCACCTTCCCAGCCCTCTCAATTATATTTGAAATCTCTTTTATTAGACTCTTTTTTAAAGAGATGGTTCTGGGATTTGAACTCAGGGCCATGAACTTGCTAGGAAAACACACCACTTAAACCATGCCACCGGCCTTTCTTTTGCTTTAGTTCATTATTGGATAGAATCTCATGCTTTTTGCCTGGGGATGGCCTCCTACTTATAGCTCCTGTATAGTTGGGATTACAAATACCATCACATCAGGCTTGTTCATTGAGATTGGGGTGAAGCAGGGGGCAGGGTTCTTACTAACTCTTTTCTCTGTCTTAGAACCACAGTCCTCTTGCTGTCTACCTCCTGAGTAGCTGAGGCATAAATTTCCACAAATGGCTGAAGGTGTCTTCTTTTGTTTCTTTTTGATGGTACTGGAGTTCAAACTCTATTACTTGAGCCACAACTCTACCCAAGTATTCTCTTATACCTCATTAAATTTCCTTTAAAAAATCATTATTATGTTGAATTCTTTTTTTTGGGGTGGAGGGGGGGAGTCGGTCCTGGGGCTTGAACTCTGGGCCTGGGCGCTGTCCCTGAACTCTTCAGCTCAAGGTGAGTGCTCTACCACTTGAGCCACAGCGCCACTTCCGGTTTTCTAGTGGTTTTTATTGGAGATAAGAGTCTCATGGACTTTCCTGCCCAGGCTGGCTTTGAACAGAGATCCTCAGATCTCAATCTCCTGAGTAGCTAGGATTACAGGCATGAGCCACCAGCACAGGCTTATTTTGAATTCTTTATCAAGCAATTCATCAGTTTCCTCTTCTTTGGAACCTGTTACCAGAATTATTGTTCTACCTATGACCTGATCCTTAAGATTTCTATTCTTTTTATTATCTTTCATGACTGAAAGTCTGAAATGAGTGGGAGTGGAGAAGGTGTGCAGATAGATTTGATATTTTTGTCAGGGTCTGATCTTACTATGGCTCTTTACATAACTTTTAGAACAAACCTGTAAGATATGTGTATATATAGCTCCATCTTGCAAGCAAAGAAACTATCACAAAGGGTATTGGCTAGGGCATCAGTCAGAGAGGCAGAGCCAGTAAAAGATGAGAAGTCTGTTACAGTGGTGCAAGCCTGTGATCCGAGCTACTTGAGAGGCAGACATCTAGAGACTGCAGTTTAAAGCAAGCTTAGACATAAATGATCTTGAGACTCCATCTCACCCAACGGCTGTGCATGAATGCACATGCCTGCTATCCTAGCTAGAGGAGAAGCATGTTTGTGAATAGTGTGCTGTGCCTGTCATCCCAGGCAAAATGGGAAGCACAAATACTAAGATCACACAGAGAAATGGGAATAAAGAAAGACCTTATCTCAAAAATAACCAATGCAAAAAGGGATGGAGACATGGCTCAAGTGATACAATACCTGCCTAGCAAGTACAAGGCCCTAACTCTGTTGGTCAATGTTCCATTGCAAAGAACAGAATCCACTCGAGCTGATTTAAGCAAAAAGATTTATTATAAAGTAATTAGTGGTTTACAGAATTATTGAGAAGGCTGTGGGATATTCTGCAGACTAAGATTTCAGGATCAATGCCAATGCCTCAGGGAAAGACTTCCAAGGAGGGCATGTTAATATGGCCCTATCAAGACTAAAAGGCCATCAGTCAAACCAGAAAGTGCATTTGATTTTTTCTTCTCTGTCTGTCTGTCTGTCTTTTGTTTTGGCACTAGGGTTTGAATTCAAGCGTTCAAACTTGCTTGCCTTGCTTGCATGCAGCTGGTAAGCTATAACCTGAATCACGCCTCCCACCTGGCTTTTGCTGGTAAATTGAAAACAGAGTCACACATTTTTCTGCCTGTCCTTCAAAACATGATCTTCCAGACCTCCATACTGGAGAGAAATGAAAAAACAAAGTGTGTGTGTGTGTGTGTGTGTGTGTGTGTGTGTGTGACATACTAAGCCATTTTATTTAAGGGATTTGATTTGGTAATCACTGGGGACTTGGAAGCCATTCCCCATAGATATTGAGAGACAATTATATAAGCATTTTTTCTATTATCATCAGTAGCAGGCTTTTCTGATACTGTCTATAGGAGGAAATAGAAGACAGTTCACTTTGTCTCTAGCCTATCCCCATAACCTCAGACATTGAAAGCTGCAGGTGTGGAATCCCATCCTTCTTGAGCCAGCTCCATCAAAATACTTCTGTTTATGGGTGTTAAAAGAGTGCTGGGCAATTCACGCCAGTTGTCAAAGGGCTGCCTGGAAATAAAAAGCAGCATTTGAAAAGCAAACAAATAAGCTCTGGCAATAATAATAGGAATCCTCAATGAGAATCCCGTCTTTCTTTTGTGGCCCACTTTCATCAGTGCTACATTCACAATTGCTGAAGAAGCCCCTGACAAATGTGGGTAGCATTTGAGCAGAAACACAAGTGCAGTGGGCAGAACAGCAAAGGGACCACTAACTGCAGGCAGAGGGCAGTTCATGAAGGAAGAGAGATGAATACAAGAGTGTCATAACTACTAGGAGCTGGAGTATAAATATTTTAAAGTATCAAAAGGGAACCACATTTGTACTCTTAGCAAATGTCCCCACTTTCTAAATTTGGGGTAAATGATACAGAACTCCAAAAGTTAACCAAATAAATAGATTTTTCCAACACAATTAGACTTCTTTCCAGGAAGGAGTCAGGACAGAAAACTATGGCTTAAGAGAATTAAGGGCTGAGTACCAGTGTCTCACACCTGTAACTCTAGTTACTCAGGAGGTTGAGATCTGATTATCACAGTTCAAAGACAGCCCAGGCAGATAAATCCATGAGACTCAAAACCTTCAATTACAAATTCTGAAAGTGGACGTGTGGCTGTACCAGTCTTGAGTGAAAAAGCCTAACTAGAGTGCCAGACAAGCCCCAATATAAACAGACAGACAGACAGACAGGCACACACATACACAAACACACACATACACACAAGAGGAAGAAATAAGGGTTGGGTAGAGATGTAGAACACATGCTTGGCCATGGGTTCCAATCACAGCACTGCAAATGAAAAATAGCCTTTCTTCATGTATTTTGCAGAGTAACTATTATATCTATGTATTTGACTACATACATAAAAATTGCCTAGCAAAGCCTATATTCATATTTATTTGTGGCAATTTGATTGTCTGGAAGATGAGAAAAATCTGCACACATAATATTTTTTTGGCATGGAGAGATGTTTTGTGGACCAATTACGAAGCAAATTACTAAGAAAACTAGGTATTGTATATTATAATGCTGTTGGAAGGGAGAATGCTTATTGGAGAGCAGCAGAACCTGGCACTAGTAGCTCACAACTGTAACCTCAGCTACTCAGGAGGCTGAGATCTGAGGATCTCAATTCAAAGCCAGTTGAGTTTGTGGGACTTATCTCCATTTAAGCACTAAAAAGCTGTAAGTGGAGCTGTGACTCAAATGATAGAGCACCAGCCTTGAGCAGAAAGACCAAGCAAGAGAGTAAGACCCCAAGTTCAAGCCCTAGTACCAGTATACACACAAAAAAAGAGTAGAAGTAAAACATCAGAGTGGATGTAGGTAATACCATAATACATTTTTTATTGTACATATAATGGTATTTACCATTATATGTTGATATTAATTTAATAATGAATCATTGTTATATAGTTACTATTTCATATGTTATTATTCATCATGTGATTTCATTATATTGTTTCTTTTTTTTGTGGGGAGGTGGGGAGGGTCCAGTCGTGGGGCCTGAACTCTGGGCCTGGGTGCTGTCCCTCAGCTCTTCAGCTTAAGGCTAGCGCTCTACCTCTTGAGCCATAGCGCTACTTCCAGCTTTTTTTTCTTTTTGTTTATGTGGTGCTGAGGAATCGAACCCAGGGCCTCATGCATGCAAGGCAAGTGCTCTACCACTGAGCCACCTTCCCAGCCCTCATTATATTGTTTCTGTGATTTACCTGTCATGGGTGATCTGGATTTTTCAATTATTCCACAAAAGCCAATCTTTTTTTCAAAAGAGATCTTTTTTGTTTGTTTGTTTTTGTGCTGTTGGGACTTGAACTCAGGGCCTGGGCACTGTCCCTGAGCTTCTTTTGCTCAAACCTAGCTCACCACCATGTGAGCCACAGCTCCATTTTGGGGGGTAGTTTATTGGAGAGCAGAGTCTCATGGACTTTCCTGCCCTTTGGAACTGTGATCCTCAGATCTCAGCCTCGTAAGGAGCTAGGATTACAAGCATGAGCCATTTGTGCCCAGCTTAAAAGAGATCTTTCTTTTAAAAAAAGAAAAAAAAGAAGATTTTATGATTTTTCCTTCCTCTTTCTCTTGACTGTCCCCTGCTTCCCACCCCTTCTTGTTATTTTTTTTTCCTATTGGAACTAATGTTCTCAACCAGCCTTGCAAGCAGGCAGCATCCTGCTCAAAACATGGAACCCGCCACAGGAGAGGATGGCCAGCATCTTTTGTGGAAAGCCCTGCGTGAGAAAGTGGGGAACCAAGCCCCAGAGATGCTGTCTGTGTGGAGGAAGGGCTGGGCTCCAGTTTACGCTCATACAAAGGCTCCTCTGCACATGGCAGGCAAGCAGATGCCAACAGAAAGCTTTTGTGAGTCCTTCATGTTAATTAACTTTTGTGAGAACCTTCATGTTAATTAACTTTGCTTGAGCTTTCCCTAGACTTGAAAGCTTTGGAGTGGTTTGTTTTTGTAAAATGCTTTGACTCCAGGGAGAGCCGCTTCAAGAGGGAAAAAAGGAGAAACAAAAAGAAAGAAAGGGAAAAAATTTTTAAGTGGGGCTTTGCTTACCAGGAAATTTCTTCCCTTGTCTCCATCCCTCCCCTCCCCCAACCAGTACTGACTCAACCATCAGGGGGAATTTTAATGGCCTTTTTCTTACACCCCCCCCCAAAAAAATAAACCAGAAGCAGACCTCCATGGCAGTGGGAACTAGCTTTGCCTCAGTGGAGACAGGTGTGTGTGTGTGTGTGTGTGTGTGTGTGTGTGCGCGCGCGCGCGTGCGCACATACACCTGTGCACGTGCACATAAGCATGGTGTCTGTTAAAAGAAATACATTCCAAGTATAAAGTCTAATTTATTTGAATTTAGAGAAAAGAAAAATGGAGGCAAATTTTGGAGAACAGTTTCTGTTATATGACGAATATGTCCATCCATAGTCTCAGGACCAAGGATGAAACACCAGTGGTTTCCGGTGATTCTAGATTGTATATGATTGGACTGGTTGTTAAAATCTAAATGAGGGAAGATAAAAGAGAAAGTGCTGGAGAATAGAAAGTCTTACCAGCCACCCAGTTATTAAGTCTACCAAGTATCAAACCATGGACCAACCCTTTGTCCTGCAACCTTTTCCTATGGAAATTTCTAGAATACAGAAAAAGTTGAAATAATTGGGCAATTAACACACACACACACACACACACACACACACACACACACACACAGCCTAGATCCTGTAAAACACTTCACTACAATTTTTTCAATTGCAATATGTAATCATCTACCCATTCCTCTTACCTGACTATCCAGGCAGGTTGGCCTTGAATTAGCAATCCTCCTATCACAGACTCCTTAGTGTTGGGATTACAGGCCTGCCCCATCTTAAAATACTACTTCAAAGTTGATGACATCAGCAGTCTTCACTTATTCCTTCCTAGTGTTAGGTAATAAACCCAGGGCCTTGGACAGTATTCTCTCTTTTTCAATTCTTCTACCCCCCCCATCTATATACTAAAGCTCGATATTTTTTACTGCTTGTAAGATTTTACTTTGTGTTTTATTTCTTTTTGCTTTGTTTTGCTTTGTTAATACTGGGGGGGGGGTTTGAACTGAGGGCTTCAAGCTTGGTAGGCAGGCTCTCTATAACTTGAGCCATACCTCTCGCCTTTTTGTTTTGTTCTGGTTACTTTGAGATAGTGCCAGCCTGAACTGTAATCCTCCTATTTGTACTTCCTACCATAGCTTGGATGATAGATGCCCAGAACTATGCTGAGCTATTGTAGAGATGGGGACTCCTGAACTTTTTGCCTGGGCTGACCTCACCAGGATCTTCCCAGTCTCTGTCTCCCAAATAGCTAAGATTCAAAGTGGGAGATGTTTGGCTCAAATGGTAGAGAGCTAGCCTTGAGTTGAAGAGCTGAGGGACAACTCCCAGGCCCAGAGTTCAAGCCCCACAACCAACAAAAAAAACAAAAACAAAATCAAAGTGGGAGATGTGGGTAGGAGGGCCTTGGTAGGAAGTTGGCCCCCGCAAAAGTGTAAGAACATACTGGAAAAATAACTAAAGTAAAACAACAACAACAACAAAACTGCTGGTGTATGGCTCAAATGCTGGAGCAGTTGCCTAGCAAGCATGAACCCTGAGTTCAAACACCAGTACTGCAAAGAAAGAGAAGAAAGAGGAGAGAGATAGAGAAAGAGAGAAGTGCAAGAGAAAGACACAATTTCCTTAGAGTGAAATATTTAAATTGTAAGTAGTTTTAACAGATGCATACAGTTTGCTCTGTTTCATTTCTTTTTGTTTTGAAATAGCGTTAAATTACCAAAAGTTTTGAGAATAATATAAAGCTCTCTTAGTTACCCTTCATTCACTTTTTTTTTTCCAGTCTTGGGGCTTGAACTCAGGGCCTGGGCACTATCCCTGAGCTTCTTTTTGCTCAAGGGTAGCACTCTACTCCTTGAGTCACAGTGTCACTTCTGGCTTTTTCTGTTTATGTGGTACTGAGGAATTGAACCCAGCGCTTCATGCATGCTAGGCAAGCACTCTACCACTAAGCCACATTCCCAGACCCCAAAGTGACATTTTAAAGCTGATATTACATTGCATGCATCCTACATTTTTCTTTCTTAGGCTGAATTCTCAAGAGACTGAGATCTGAGAAAAATAATTCAAAGACAGCCCAGGAAGACAAACTCAAGAGATTCTTATCACCAATTAATCACCAGAAAGCTGAAAGCAGAGTTGTGGCTCAAGTGGTAAAACACTAGTAGTAGGCCCTGAGTTCAAGCACTCACCTACAAAAACAAACAAACAAGCAAACAAACGTTCTATATGCTTTCCTCCTAAGAACAAGATTAATCAGAGAAAATGAGAAAATGGACTTGATAGAACACTTTTAAACTACAGTGTCCATTCCAATTTTGACACTGTTCTTTGTGGTTCAAATATGAATTAGCTCTTATACTATCTTATGTTGATGTGTGATTCCCAACTGGTGGTGCAATTTTTGAAGGCTCCAAAAATTTGAGGAAGAGGAGCTGAGCTAGAAGAATTAGTTCACCATGGGTGTGTCATAGACAAGCCTATATCTTGTCCTGTCTCCTCCCTCTTCACCTCCCTGTTTCCTGTCCACCATGAGATGAACAACCTCCTCTACCATGTGTTCCCCCTGACCAGAATGCTGAACCCATATTTATGAGGCCAGACAACAATGGACCAACATTTAAACTTTGAAACCATGAACCAGAATAGTTTTTCTTCTTTTAATCCTCTCTGGCAAGTAGTTAGTCACAGTGGCAATAAAACTAATAGCATTTCCCTCTCCAATAAAGGCTCCAGTCCTTTGTGATTTATGGTTTTAGCGTTCTTAAGTGTCTTTTTTTTTATCCTGATTACTTTTTTTACTTAAATAAATACTATTGTGCCTTACATTGTGATAACAATACCTGAATCCTGATTTCCACTTGCCTGATACATATTTGTACATTTCCATCTTTTTATTTTGAATCATTGTGTTTTAGATGCATTTTTATATCACAACATAGATGGGTTTTTGTATATGAGCTAATTTAAAAATCTTTCCATAAATAGGCAAGTTAAGCAAATTCACATTTAATAATATGATGTTTGCTCTCAACGCTATCATATTACTTAGTATGTGATTCATATTAACATCTGATTGTTCTTTTGGTATTTAGAAATATTTGCTCTAATCCTTACCTTTTTGTATTCATATATTTTATAGTTTCCCTGCTACCTTTTTAATATCCTTAACCTTTTTTTTTAATTTTATTTTATTTGTGAACATACTGTACAGAGGAGTTACAATTACATGGGCAGGATAATGCGTACATTTCTTACCAAGCATTGCAGCCTCCTCCTTTGGTTTACCCTTCACATCCTTTCCCAGCCTCCCCCCTCCCCCCCAATCCCAATCCTTCTCCTCCCCCCCCTTCCCCCCCCCCGCCGCACTGACGTTGTAAAGCTCGTTTTGGACATAACAACTTGTACTTCTCATTGTTGCAACAGGTCCACCTGTATCCTTAAACAACTGGTTTTTCCCCATCTCCTCCACAAGTTATACTGACATCAAATATAGTGAAAGCAGGGGTTATACTGTGGGGGAGGGACATACAAAGCAACAAAGAGATAATCTTATAAATACGTTAGAAACACATGCATGAAAGAAAAAAACATTAAAATACACATCTAACGGTTCATTTTCCTGACATCACATTATCTGACCTTTTCCGCTTGACTCATACATATACTAGATATTACAAATAAGGGAAACCATGGGACCTATGTTTCTTTGGGCTGGCTTACTCACTTAATATAATTTTTTCCAAGTTTTTCCATTTCCTAACAAATGGGGCAATGTCATTCTTTCTGATAGAGGCATAGAATTCCATTGTGTATATATGCCACATTTTCTTGATCCATTCATCTACTGAGGGGCATCTGGGTTGGTTCCATATCTTAGCTATGGTAAATAATGCTGCAACAAACATAGTTGTGGTGGTAGCTTTAGTGTGGTCTTGTTTGTAAACATTTGGGTAAATGCCCAAAAGTGAGATTGCTGGGTCATAGGGGAGTTCTATGTGAAGTCTTTTGAGGAACCTCCATACTGCTTTCCAAAGTGGTTGAACAAGTTTCCATTCCCACCAACAATGAAGTAAGGTTCCTTTCTGTCCACATCCCCTCCAGCATCTGTTGTTGTTAGAGTTCTTGATTTTTGCCATATCTCAATGTTGTTTTGATTTGCATTTCTTTTATGGCTAGGGAGGTTGAACATTTCTTCATGTGTCTATTGGCCATTCTTCTTTCTTCTTCAGAGAAGTTTAATATCCTTAACCTTTTACTTTCTAATCCATCAAAGGAAACTTCTGATTCCCACTTATTACAACAGGTAATAGTATCTCTCTGCTTTTCCTTTCTTTCCTGTCTCATTTCTAGTTGTATTCTTCTTTTTGTGTTGAGACATAAAATATTTTGGTGTTATCCACTAATGTTCTTTCTCATGTTTTACTGATGGCTCTACAACTAAGTAGATTAAGTGTTAATCATTGGTTCTTTGCTAAGATTCATTGTTTGTATGGTGAAGTTCATTCTCTAGTATACATCTTAGGAAGGGCATTGGTGTTATGAGATGGATATAAAATCCTTGATCATGGCTGGGAATATGGCTTAGTGGTGGAGTGCTTGCCTTGCATCCATGAGGCCCTGGGTTTGATTCCTCAGCACTACATACACAGGAAAAGTTGGAAGTGGGGCTGTGGCTCAAGTGGTAGAGTGCTAGCCTTGAACAAAAAGCAGCTTAGGGATAGTGCCCAGGCCCTGAGTTCAAGCCCCAGGACTGGCAAAAGAAAAATTCTTGATTAAGAGCTTTCTCACCTTGAGTTTCAAGACAATGCTTCTTCACTCTTGCCTCACTTTTTTGTAGTTTAAAAAAAGCCTGAAAGGCCTGTCTGATTTTCTTTTCACCTGGAGGTTTTGGGAATTTCTTTGCTGTGTATTTAAAGTTAATAATTTTCTACAATATGTTTTAGAGATCACTGTTGCTTGTCAATTTTTTTAATTTAAAAAAGGGTCTCTGTTCCAAATGGAAATGGAAATTTTCTTTCGTTTCCAGAAAGTTCTTTTGGTGTATAAATTTAAATATTATTTCTGTTTTAGTATTTTGTTTGCTTTTTTAAGGGAGCACAATTATTCATATCTTGACCCTTCTCTGACTGCCTTCCATTTCAGCCACTTTCTCTCTGA